CGACTACGACTACGACTACTACTACTACTACTACTACTACTACTACTACTACTACTACTACCGCCACGGTTACTACGACTAATATTCTACTACAGCCACTTCGGCGACGACAACGGATACGACCACGGCTACGACTACTGCTACTCCGACTACTACATTAATGATACCGGAAAATAACCTAAACATAGTCTTTTTAGAGCTATGAGGCTATGGGGCTATTGGGCTATAGGTCCATGGGGCTATGTGGCTATAGGGCTATGGAGCTATAGGGCTATAGTGTTATGGGGCTATAGAGCTATAGGTCCATAGGGCTATATAGAGCGCTGGTGCTATAGGGCTGTAGGGCAATATGGCTACAGGGCTATAGGGCTATAGGACAATAGAGCTATAGGGCTGTAGGGCTATAGGGCCATGGGGCTATAGGGCTGTAGGGCTATTGGGCTATAAGGCTATAGGGCTACAAGGTTATGCTATAGAGCGAAACAGCTAGAGGGCTGTTGGGCTATAGACTATAAGGATATAGGGCTATAGGGTTATAGGGCCATGGGGCTATACGGCTGTAGGGCCATATGGCTACAGGGTTATAGGGATATAGGGCTATAGGGCAATAGAGCTATAGGGCTGTAGGTCTATAGGGCTATAGAGCCATGGGGCTATAGGGCTGTAGGGCTATTGGGCTATAAGGCTATAGGGCTATAAAGTTATGCTATAGAGCGAGACGGCCATCGGGCTATTGGGATATAGGGCTATTGGGCTATAGGGCTATGGGGCTACGGCGCTATAGGGCTATTGTGCTATAGGGCTATAGGTTTATAGGGCTATGGGGCTATGGGGCTATAGGGCTATAGGGTTATAGGGCTCCAGGGCTATAGGGCTATAGGGCTATATGGCTATAAGGCTATAGGGCTATAGTGCTATAAGGGTACAGGGCTATAGGGCTACAGGGCTACAGGGCTATTGGGCTATCGGGATATAGAGCTAGAGGGCTATAGGGCTATAGGGCTATATAGAGCTATGGGGCTATAGGGCTGTAGGGCTACGGGGCTAAGAGGCTATAAAGCACCCGGGCACCCCGGCACTCAGGCACCCGGGCGGGCCTCGGAAATCGGTGACAATCCTCACCTACCATATGAATCCGCCAGAACCCCTACAGAGGCAAACTCTGATTGGGGAACAATACGACTACGACTACCAGACTTCAACATCACATTCGTGTTGCGTACAAATCAAAAATACGGGGCCAGGGTTCGGGTTAAGGTTCGGCCTCGGGCTCGTGAGTCGCAGAACCAGTGCAGCAGGAACGCCCGCGGAACATGAAGTATACGATAGCGTTTCTATTATGATGCGTCGACGAGCCTACTAACATGTGTCTACATTGCTGCGGGAGCTGGACCCATCCACTAATGATGTACGCACGCGGCAGAAGTGTTATATTGGTCATTCGGCCGCGCGAGCAAAAACAACAATTCCCCTTGCAACCATGCTACGGTAACAGCTCAGGAGGCATGTGTGGCAACACCGCACGGTGAGTTAGGCGCCATGTCAGCGAACTGCGTAGCTGACCTGCATAAAGTTAAGGAGCTGCGGTTGGGCCTGGGATGGTCGCTACGCTTCATGAGCCCTCGATCGAAACACACATGCGGCATGACGTCAGTTGGTGGGAGGCAGACATGACTTGCATGCCCAACGAACTGCTACAAGGGGCTAGCACAACATAGTGGAATCCAGCGAGGAGGCCAGGATGAGCAAAATACAAAGTTTTCGTTGGAATTCCTCCATAATCCATTTGGAAAATGTGGACTCCGAGGATACCACCAGATATCGCTGTAAGTCCTACACGTCCGCATCAACACCATACAAGCCTGAGGCATCCTGACCATGTTGTCGCAGTCCGAGAAGCTCCCCGAATGCATCATGCGAATCTCTCTTGGAACCTGTAAGATATCCAAGATATCCAAAACAGATAACCTCTGGAACCTGGAGGCTTACAAAAGGTTCCTGAAGAGCCCAAAGACACCCACGGACATCCAAAGTAATTCCTCAGAGCGCCGCAAGAGGACACAGGATTACGACGCAGTGGCCAGAAAAAAAATCCGAAAGAATCCAACTGATTTCTTTTGGAACCCGTAATAAGACATCTAAAAGATGTCTTCCGGTATTCTGAAGACGAATACGGGCTCTTCGGGAATCCCGAAACTCTACGGCAATCCTGGCTAACCTCATACGATGCCGCAGGATTGCTTGGGATCCCCACCAGAATTATGGAAACCCGAGAGAGTCCTGATAATGCCTTCGCGAACCCAATAAAAATTAGTGGGACTTCTGCGGGTGAGGAGGAGAAGGAGGAGAAGGAACGCAGAGCGGCCCCCAGAAACAGCCATGGGTGGCACAGGATACTTAGGCTCAGCCATTCCACTCGATGGTGGTGTTGATGATATTACTGATGATGGTAGTGATGATGTTTGGTGATGCCCGTGATGATGCGCGTGATGATGATAGGGGTGCTGGTGGTAGTGATGCAGGTGTTGGTGGTGCCGATCGTGGTGGCGATGATGTTGATCATGCTGATGGTGCGCGTGATGCGCGTGATGTGTGCGACGGTGTGTCCTTGGCCTTGCGCGCCGACCCTGGCCGCCGAGCAAGCCCGGAGGCACCACGCGCCGCAGCCCGAGCCCAGAGCGGGCCTGGGCCGCGACCGCCCTCGGCGTGCACTGCTCCACCCCACCATCCATCCCTCCGTGCCTCTGGCCTCCATCCAACCTCCATCCATCCCTCGATCCTCCAACCCGCTCCCCTCCATCCCTCCAGCCCTCCGACCTGCTCCTGCTGGTGCAGCTGCTGCTCCAGCTGCTGCTGCGGCTCCTCCTTCTCCCCCTCCCCCTCCCCCCTCCATCATCAAGATCATCATGATCATCATGATCATCATCATCATCATCATCATCATCATCATCATCATCATCATCATCATCATCATCGTCATCATCATCATCATCGTCATCATCATCATCACCACCACCACCACCACCAGCATCATCATCATCATCATCATCATCTCATCATCATCATCATCAGTATCATCATCATCACCACCATCATCACCACCATCATCATCAGCATCAGCATCATCATCATCATCGCCATACTGATCGTCATCGTCATCATCACAGTCACCATCATCGGCATCATCATTATCAGCATCATCATTATAGTCAGCATCACCATCATCATCATCATCACAGCATCATCATCAGCATCATCATCATCATCATCGTCATCACAGTCATCATCATGATGATCGGCATCATCGGCAGCATCACCATCACCATCACCATCACCATCACCATCACCATCATCATCAGCATCATCATCATCCGCATCGTCACCATCATCATCATCATCATCAGCATCATCATCGTCAGTATCATCAACACAACCATCATCATCACCACCATCACCACCACCATCACCATCAGCATCGTCATCATCAGCATCATCAGTATCATCATCAGCATCATCCTCATCATCAGCATCATCATCGTCAGCATCATCATCGACCTTCTCCTCCTCCTCCTCATCATCATCATCCTCCACCAACACCAAAATATGGGAAATTACAACCATCATCGCCACCCCGCTCCTCCTCCCCCTGGTCCTCCTCACTCTTGTCCTCCTCCTCCTCCACAGCACACTCTTCCTCAACGTCCTCCTCAACGTACTCCTCCTCATACTCATGCTCATCATCACCATCATCATACTCATCAGGTTCCTCTTCCTCATCCTCCTCCCTGTCCCTCTTCCTCTGCTTCTTCCTCCCTCCTCCTCCTTCTCCTCCTCCTCCTCCGCCTCCTCCTCAGCAGCAGTGGCATCATCAACATCAGCATCATAATCATAATCATCATCGTCAGCAGCATCATCAGCACATGGCGCTGCTTAGTCCTTATTGCGCCCAACTGCTTGTTGAACCGGATCTACCCTCCTCATCCGTTATCCTCCCTCCTCCCCCGCACCACCACCATCACCATCACCAACACCATCAACATCACCATCATCAAGCAAGACCATCACCATCAGCAGCAGCATCATTAGCATGATCATCAGCCGAAGCACCTTGCTTTTTCTCTTCGGCCACATCTACCTATCCTCCTCCTCCACATCTATCTATCCTCCTCCTCCTCCTTCTCCTCCTCATCATCCGCCTCTTCCTCCTCCTTCTCCTGTTCCTCCTCTTCCTCCGTCTCCTCCTCCTCTTCCTCACCTTCCCCCTCCTCCCCACCCTCCTCCTCCTCCTCCTCCTCCTCCACCTCCTCCTCCTCCTCCTCCTCTTCCTCATCTTCCACCTCCTCGCCCTCCTACTCATCCTCCTCCTCCGCCTTCTCATTTGCCTACTCCAACTCATCCTCATCCTCTCCTCCTCCTCCTCCTCCTCCTCCTCATCCTCTTCCTCCTCCTCCTCCAACCCCTCCTCCTCCTCCTCATCCGCCTCTTCCTCCTCCTTCTCCTGTTCCTCCTCTTCCTCCGTCTCCTCCTCCTCTTCCTCACCTTCCCCCCTCCTCGCCACCCTCCCTCCTCCTCCTTTTCCTCCTCCTCCACTTCCTCCTCCTCTTCCTCACCTTCCACCTCCTCGCCCTCCTCCTCATCCTCCTGCTCCTCCGCCTTCTCCTTTCCCTACTCCAACTCATCCTCATCCTCATCCTCATCCTCTCCCTCCTCCTCCTCCTCCTCCTCCTCTCCTCTCCTCCTCCTCCCCCTCCTCCTCCTCCTCCCTCCTCCTCCCTCCTCCTCCTCCTCCTCCTCCTCCTCATTCTCCTCCTCCTCTCTCCTCCTCACTCCTCCTCCTCCTCCTCCTCCTCCTCCTCCTCCTCCTCCTCCTCCTCCTCCTCCTCCTCCTCCTCCTCCCGCCCCTCTCCCTCCTCCTCCTCCTCCTCCTCCTCCTCCTCCTCCTCCTCCTCCTCCTCCTCCTCCCCATCCTACTCGTCTAACTAGCTGAAGCGGTGCCGCTCCTTGCGGAAATCGTGCAGCTCGTGTCGGGTCTCCCGTAACTCCCCCACTGTCTTCTGGATACTCCTTGCGTGGTCGAGCTCCTTGTCTCTGTATAGCTTCCTGGCCGGGCAAAGGGCAAGGGGGGAAGGGAATAGGGGGCCTCTCCTTGCCCCATCCTCTCAGAAACCTTACCTATCCCTGTCCCCGCCTCCACAATCACACGGAATGAATGCTCCTCTCCCCTCCCCTGGATATGTCTGGAGAGTGGCCGCCCCCTCTCCGCGTACTGGATTTGTTTCACGCGTGTTCTCTCGTGCTTTCTGAGTTCGATTTATCTGCCTCCTTCTCTTTGCACATTGGATTTGCGCGACATGGATTTTAATGTGGTTTGTTACCGTCCGATTGTTCCCAGTTTTTCAAGAATGGTGTTTCGCTGCAGCGGAGGCTCATTTTCGGATCGGCGCTGTGATCCCGTTGTTTAGAATGGCGTTCCCGCCCCAGCGTGGGTCACTTGCTGGATGCCACACGTCTTGAAGGTCTCGCAGACACCACAGGTCCTTCAGGACCCACAGGACCCACGGGTGTCGCAGTCGCCTCAGTGGTCCCAGAGGTCCCACCGGTCCGACAGGTTCCACAGGTCCCACAAGTCTCACAGGTGTCGCAGGTCTCGCATGCCCCAGATATCCAACAGGTCCCACAGGTCCCGCAAGTCCCACATGTCCCGCAGGTCCCGCTGGTGCCCCTGGCCCTTCAGGCCTTAACGGTCACACAGGTCCCAGAGGTCCCCCAGGTCCCAAAGGCCCCACAAGTCCCAAGGGTGTCGCCGGTCTCGCCCCACAAGCCACAGAGGTCCCCCAGGTCGCCCACGTCCCACATGTTTCCCGTTTCCAACTGCGCACAACATAGTGGGGTATCTCGTGGAGTCCCAGGTCGGCTACGGCACGCGCCCGCGGAGCCAGAGAAACCAGCGCCGTGGGAAGGGACGAGAGGGGCGGATGGGATGTCAAATATTGCGCGAGCGGGCCTTCCCCTCCCTTTCGGGCCGCCTCCGATCCACTCACCGAGCAAGATCGAAGGAGGGCGCAGGGTGGGCAGAAAGAACATCGGCAGGCCGCGAGAGAAGGGCGGGGGGGCAGGGCGGGCGGTCCGTCCCACCCTCCCTCCCGCCTCCCTGCGTTCCCGCCCAGCCCTCCCCCCCTTTCCCCTCTCTGGGGGGCCACATGCGAACCCTACCCCTACCCCCCACGATTTCTGAGGGGGAGGGTGGGGTTCACTTCGCTCGGGAGCTCCTGAACGAAGGGAACCCCACCCTCCCTCTCAAAAATCGTGGGGGGTAGGGGTAGGGTTCGAATGTGGCCCCCCACTCTCCTGACAACCTGCCAGACCACCCAAACCCAACCCGAAGACCTGAAGTTGGCCCGAACTTCGGGTTGGGGGGGGGGCACGGGTTCCATGTGTTGTTGTTCCGATGTCCCCCGACCCCCCCCCCACCCCACTGGAAATGACAGGGGGACGTAAGACCTGGGTACAGGGGACTCGGAAATCCCCGACGAGGTCGTCAAAAAATGTCGAGGCCGAGCCTGCATTTTGACGAGGCCTTCCGCTGCAGACATCCCACGAAACTCCTCCTCGTCAAAATCCGAGGCGCGGTCGTCAAAAACGATGGCGAACCCGAGTCCTGGCAAACCCGGGTCTTACGCTCCCCCGAAAATGGACGGCAAATTGGGGCCTTCGGGCTGGGTTAAAGTGGTTTGGTGGGTGGTGATCTCCCCCCCTTTCTCCGCCGCTCCCTCGCCCGCGGCCCCAGGTCCGAGCTCGCCGCAGGCCGCGGCCGAGCCTGCGCTCGAGCCTGCCACGGGGGCCCGCCTCTGGGCCAGCCATTCCCCCCCTCTCCTGCCATCCCCTCCCCCTCTCCTCCTCCTCCTCCTCCTCCTCCTCCTCCTCCTCCTCCTCCTCCTCCTCCTCCTCCTCCTCCTCCTCCTCCTCCTCCTCCCCCTCCCCCTCTGCTCCTCCTCCCCCTCCTTGACCCCCCCCTCCTCCCGCCCATCGGTCCTGCAGCTCCTCACGTCCTGCTCGCTGAACGTCTGCACTTCGTGCTGGTCACGGGGCCTCGGCCGGCGGTGCCGCCGAGAGGCCACCCGGGCAGCCGAGCCGGCCGGGGCCGGCCGAGCGGGCCAGGCCGGGCCACTCCCTGGGAGCCTGTTTTTTTTAGACTCTGGCAAGTTTACTTGCATGGACGGGGGGGGGGCTGAGCCTGAAGCAAGCCTGGGGGGTGGGGGGCGCGGAAATCACGCAAGTCGAAAGGCACTTGCACGCTAGTATTCGCTTGAAGAGGGGCGAGGGGGGGGGGGGGGCGAACGCCATGCAAGTAAACTTGCCTGAATCCAAAAAAAACAAGCTCCTGGTGCAGTGGCCGGCCAGGCTGGCTCGGCCGGCCCCCGCCCATATCTCGGACCACCAATCCGCGCGTGGTGCCTCGGTTCCGGCCTCTGGGGCCCACGATCGGGCCCCAGGAGTGAGACCCAGGAGCATGAAACAGAGTCCAGGACGCGGAAACGACCCAGGAGAAGCGGTCGGGACCGCCGTGGAAAAGCACCACCAACTTTTTCAGCAGCCTCTGGTATCCGCGGCACTCCCCTCCCCTTCGCTCTTCTGGACCTTCCGCCTTACCTTCCCCCCTTTTTCGATCTGACCTACATGTACGGAACCGAACTCTATACACCGATGCTGCTTCCGGCCCCGCATTGAATCGCGCACAAGAAAATGGATCCTGATGTATACGGGATCCTGGTGTATACCTGTTTCGCTGTTTCTCTGGGAGAACGGGGAAAACAAGTATACACCACACCGCCCCGACGTCACCCCGGACCCTCAAGAAATCCGGGGATGGAAGAACAGCCCGCCACAGGCAATGTATGTATTCCAGTTTCCGATAGATGGGCTCCCTTGAGTTACCCAAGGCCTCAAAAACAATCGGCGCATCCTTCCGCACCTCCCGCGGAAAAACACGGAAGGCGTGGAAGGTGCAGGCGGAGGGCCGCCAGGCCCCCGGGACCGTGAAGCAACGACCGAGGACGAAACGCCGGGCCCGTGAGTATCGTTTACGGTGGGGGCATCGGATAAGGATCAGGGGGACGTAAGACCTGGGTACAGGGGACTCGGAAATCCCCGACGAGGTCGTCAAAAAATGTCGAGGCCGAGCCTGCATTTTGACGAGGCCTCCCGCTGCAGACATCCCACGAAACTCCTCCTCGTCAAAATCCGAGGCGCGGTCGTCAAAAAACGATGGCGAACCCGAGTCATGGCAAACCCGGGTCTTACGCTCCCCCGAAAGGAAACCTTCGATAAGGAATCCAGGGTCTGAAGCCAGTGGAAAGCCAATCGTGGAGTTGCCATGGATGTCACCGCCGCCCTCATCGGATAAGGAACCCTCCAGGGTCTGAAGCCTCCTGGGCACGTTCCTTAACGAACGCCCCGACTGTATCGTTTATCCGATCCCCACACCCAGCGGCCCGCCCTTGACCGCGCCGCACTTCCCCGCGCCAACGCCGCCGCCCATGCCGCTGGACATGCCCGAGCCCTCGCCCCTATGTTTCGCGCGATTGCCTGCGGCGTTGCCAAAGTTCTCGGCGTTGCCAAAACGTTTTGTCCTCGGCGGTCGCGGCGGGCCCCCTGGCCTCCTCGGCGCCCGTCGGCGGCGCCGGCGCGGTCGAAGCGTCGGCCGCGGCGAGCGCCGCGGCGGGCGCTGCCGCGGCGCGGCGCGTCAGGGCGCGCGCCGCGCGCCTCTCGCGCCCCTCGTCAGACTGGCAGTTGGAGCAGAGCTCGCGCCCGCCCTCCGCCGGTGCGCAGCGCGCGCGGGGCGCCCAAGTTGGGGCGGGCTGCCCGGCTGCGAGGCGGCCGCCTCGCTCGCCCGAAGAAAGCGCGGAACGCTGGGCGGCGCGGCGAAGCGGCGGTGGCGCGGCGGCGCGATCGGCACACAGCCGACGTCTCCTAGCGCCAAACTCGCTTGCGCCACCTCTCCGAGCAGAATGCGAAGCGGCGTCGGCGGCGGCGGCGCGGGCCGCCCGAGTGGCGCCAGCGCCGACGGCGTTGGGGAGGGGGGCGCTCGGCGCTGTGTCGCTGCAGCGTCCGCGGCGAGACAGGCGGTCGCCTCCTGAAGGGGGGGGCTGGATCGGCACGGCCCCGCCCCCCGCCACACCCGACCACCCTGCCCCGCCCTGGCCTGGGACTCATAGGGCCACTGCGCTCTGGCGCCCCAACGCATGGGGCCCCAGCACCCCACGGCAAGGCTGCCGTGCTCTGGGGCACGTGGCTCTACAGCAGACGGCATTGGTACTCTGGGCCACGCGACTGCGGGAATACGGAGCGGCTCTGGCGCGCGGGGCCCCAGGAGATTGGGGCGCGGGCTCTCGGACCTGGGGGGGCCCGATGACCCGGGGAAAGGGGGCCCCCGGGCCACGGGGCTGCGAGACACAACGGCAAAGAGCCCTTGAATCTGGGAGCAACGAAAACGGGGCCAGCGGCAGTTAAATTACGGCTTGTCGTTATCATTCCTCTTGTCGGTTCGTCGTTCGGCACGCGCGGCGGGGGCGCAGGGTTGGCGGCGCCATCTGGGACTAGCGCGTACGCGGGCCCAGAAAACTCAAATGAATGCTGCGCCCATCAAACGATTGCCCCGATCTTCGCCGGCTTGTCTTTCAAGACGCCCCCCCCAAAAAAAACGCCCCGGATATCTTCGCGAAGTCCCCCAAGGTCAGCCACGTCGATGGCGCGCCGCCCACGATCGCGCCGATGGACGCGGGCGTGGCCCGGGCGGCAAGTGCGGACAAGCTCGCGGCGCGGGAGCTTGCGACTGCGCTTTACACGAGGGCGTCCTCGAGGTCCCTCGCCTCCCGGGTGAGCGCGGCGAGCGCCCCTGCTACGAGCTCCTCTTTGAGTTCGAGCCAAACAAGGTCTGCAAAATCAGCAGGGGGGTTGTCGCCAGCGGCGTCGGCAAGTGCACGGCATGCGGGCGCCACCCAACCCTTCGCCGCCACCGCTGTGTAAACCGTCGTCAGCAGCGCGCAAACGCCCTGCCATCCGACGAAGAACGGGAAGCGGTTTGCCGCGATGAACGCTTATTCAAGCATTGCAGACGACAGGACATCAGGATGGGAGAGGCTCATCGCGCGGCGGTCGCCGCGCTGAACGACCTGATATAGCAAGTACTTCATGCCAACCGTCTGCGCGACAACGCCCTTGCAGACGTTCGCGATCAACCGTTCACTGGCGGGGGGATTCCGAAGCTGAATGCCCATCGGCCCTCCAGGTTGCGCCGCGACAGGAATGCTCTGGACGTGGTCAGCCAATTTCGCGAGCCGGCGGCGGATCGACCCAGTAAAAACGGGCAGCCCCCAGCTTTAGGCCATGTTCCCCCACGCCACGCTGGCTCCGTTCTCGGACACCGGCGAAGGCCAGCCCAGGCCGTGCTTGCACAAGAGCTGGAGGTAGAATAGCCCTTCGCCCCAATATGGCCCCCGAGACCGCCAGCAGGCCCCCAAGAGGCCCCACGCAAGCTCCAGGAGGCCCCGAAGAGGCCCAAATTAGGCACCAAGAGGCTCCCAGGAGACCCTCGAGAGGCCCCACGACCGAGTCCGAGAGGCTTCCGAGGGGCCTCCCAAGGGATCGCCACAGATATCCCAAGGGCCTCTGGCCTGCAACCCACGCATGGTGGCGGGATGGGCCGACGGCCACTGGATAAAACATGCGAGGCAAGCACAGCTGCCGCCAAACGGCTTATCATAACGAAGGTTCGACCGCCTATAACTAACGCCGAGCGGGGGGCAACTAAATTCCGCACGAGTTTATCCGCCACCGTGCCTCTGGCCTCTGGGCACAGAGCGAGCGTGTCCTCAGGTCCTTTGCCCAATCCCCTGAGTCTCGAAGGGGACCCGAGCCCAAATTCACAAATCTCCTTGGACGTGGCACGGTTCCCTTGGGCCTTGGGGCATCTTGTCGCGTGCCTTTCTCGAACCCGAAAGGTCCCGTAGGCCTCTGACCCACCACCCAGGCACGGCGGCGGGATAGGCAGAAAGACATTCGATGAACTTGCAAACTCCAAAACCGGTGCATGGGGAAAACGGTATCGGTATCCGTATCGGTATGGGCCGACTCTCTGCCAGTGTCTGAGGACCCCAAACAGGTCACTGAGAAGATTGATGGGCGAAAGGGTCCCAACCTGTATTGGGGGGCCGATCGAAAAGGGAGCCAGGCCTGGGGCCCAAGCCGAAGGCAACGCGTTGTCGCTGCCACCTACGCTCCCTGGCGGCCTCCCTCTATGGGGAAGAACGAAAAGCAAGGAGAGAGGAAACGGAGCGGCAGCACCAGCACCAGCGACACGTGCACCGCATCAGCACCGACAGCAGCTCGCCCAACAGTGGCAACAACAGTGCGACGAAGGAACACTTGTCGGAGCGCGGAACGGCGAGGGGGGCATTTCTGGCATCGGCAGACCCTCCCCAGGGAGGAGAACGCGGAGGAGGAGGACGACGACGACGACGAGCGGGGAAGGTAGAAGGGGGAGGAGCGAGAGAAAGGTGAGGAAGTGGAGCAGAAGGCCTCGGAGCAAGCAGGCACGAGAGAGAGAGAGAGAGAAAGAGAGTAGAGAAGATAGAGGTGGCGCGGGGGAGGATGAGGAGGAAAAGGAGAACTACGAGGAACAGGAGGAGTGAGGAAGGAGGAGAAGGAGAAAAGAGAGGGACGAGAGGGAGGACCGAGGGGGAGAAGGAGGAAGAAGACCGGTGCAAACCTAGGACTCGTCAGCGATGTTGGAATACACCCTCCCTCGAAGCTCCATCTTCATAGGCCCCTACGAGAGCTCATTTCCACTGAAGGAGGTGCGTGGTGGGGGACAACCGTGCAAACATCCTGAAGCGTGCCCGAACACCATTCTCTGGACCTCAGCGCCACGAGTGAACCTGATTGTGAGCGCATGGCGATCCTGAATCATGCCAGAACGCAGCACCTGGGACTCCAGCACGCGGAATCCACGTAACTGCTGCGCCCTGAACAACCATGAGTCGGTCCAACACACCCTTTCTGGTAGGCCAGCCATGAGAATGACTGAACCC